TAATAATAGTAATAGTAATAATAATAATAATTAATAATAATAACAATAATAATAATAGTAATAATAATAACAATAATAATAATAATTAATAATAATAACAATAATAATAATAACAATAATAATAATAATAGTAATAATAATAATAATTAATAATAATAACAATAATAATAATAATAACAATAATAATAATAGTAATAATAATAACAATAACAATAATAATAACAATAATAATAATAATAACAATAATAATAAAACCAAGAATAATAATAACAATAATAATAATAATAACAAGAATAATAATAACAATAATAATAATAACAATAATAATAACAACAACAATAATAATCATAATAATATTAATAATAATAACAATAATAATAATAAAACCAATAATAATAACAATAATAATAATAACAATAATAATAATAACAATAATAATAATAACAATAATAATAATAATAATATATATATATATAATGGGATGGGATTGATGCCAATCTGAACACGTGATCGATGCAATGCCTGTGATATTCTGGTATGACGCGGGTAAGACAGAGTGGCTCTGCAATGCATACTTCACCACGGACGATCTCTAGTCTTGTCAAACCTTCGTTGTGTTCGCCAAAAAATACAATTTCCACTTCATTGAAGGCTGACCTGTGATAGTTTTCTGATGGGAGGCTGCACCTACACAACAGGCGCTGGCGGCAGAAGTTGCGAGCAGGCGGGAAAATTTCAGGGAGATATTGTTTTTTCTTGAGGTTGGCAGCAGAGATTTGCAAACGGCACACCTGGCACTAACAGTGACTAACAGTGACGAACAGTTGCAGCAGGCAGTCGTTTTGACATGTTTTGACCGTCGTTTCTTGAACTTCAATGAGGATAATGGGGGTAGTGGAAATAACCATCCGACTCGACAGGGTGCCGCTCCCTGCGCATTTGCGCATGCGAGCCCCGTGATGGCCGTGACGTGTGGCGGGAAAAGTGACAGAGGTTGGGCGCGATCGACCCGGAGAACTTTGCCTTTCCACTGGTTTTCTTTGGATCAAAAAAAATGAGATAACTAAGGAATCTAAGGACACCAGGATTGAGAATATGTTCAATAGTGTTCAATAGTGTTCAATACATTTGACGATATCAGTAGTTGTTATCCAAGACACCTATTTCAAGTCTGAATAGCTGATACTGTAGTTTGATGTAGCTGCCTAGGCGATCCTCTGTTGCTTCCAAGGTTGTTATCATTATCAAGCCAATCAATCGACCGACCAACCACTCAATCACCAAATCAGCATTTGCAATCTGCTCTATTCCAGTCATTCTAACTCAAGTCAATTGATCGAATCTGATGCATCTTATGCATCCAATCCAGTCTGGTGTATTTTTTGTGAAAACAAACAAAAACCTGACGTTTAGAAAGTTACCCTTTCCAGAAATGACGACTAGAAGCTAAAGGCTATGTTTGGGGATGTGTCCTCGAGTCCTCGCCCTCCATCCAAATCCCACAAAGTGGCTTATCTTCAATGCGGATCAAGGGGTCATCAGTTTCGAACATCCAGGGACCTTAAAACTGGAGAGGACTCCCTGCATTGCGAAGCAGTGCAGCCATCTGTGGCTCAGAAACAATTCCAATTCGGGCCTGGCAAAGCAGCCCTGAGGCGTGAGTGGTGGCCCTTTAGAAACGAGGACCATTTATTTAGGGCATTTGTATATATATATATATATTTAGCTTAGTTTTTTTTTGGATTCCTCTCTTCTCTCTACTGTGCTGCTGTTCTGCATTTTTTTGCTTCTACGCTTCTCTGTTCTTTTTGCTTCTCTACTTTTCTGCCTTTCTGCTTTTCCGTTTTTTTTTACTTCTCTGTATTTTTGCTTTTCTGTGTTTTTTGCTTCTACGCTTCTTTGTTTGCTTCTCTGCCTTTTTGCTTCTCTGTTTTTTTGCTTATCTGTTTTTCTGTCTTTTGTTTCTCTGTTTTTTGTTCTCTGCTGTGTATTTTTTCTGCATTCGTTGCTTTTTGTTTTTCTACTTGCTTCCTTGTTGTTCTGCTTGATTACAAGTGCAGCTATAACTACATGAAGAGAACAGCACCAGCAGCACAAACAACAAGAGCAGTAAATGCAAAAGGAACAACGCAAACCAACAAAAGCAACAAGAAACAACTAGAACAGCAAGAGAAACAAGAACAACTACAACGGCAAAGTAGGAACACAAGCGAAGTTGTCTCTGTGTTCCTTGGGGGGGAGGCGCTGCGCCCTCCCCCTTCCATCTGTTTCTATTTTGTTGTTGCGTGCTTTCGATTTTGCACTCTTTGGTTTCTTTGCGTTGGTGTAAAGACCATGATGTAAATGAGCTGATTAACAAGTTAAGGTTTCACAATGCTTCAAATATTATAAAACCAAAATGGAAAGTCGCCATGCAAAATGGAAGGTTGAAGTTCAAGAATGCTGCACATATCATTTGCAAAATCCCGATGAGGTTCTATCTCCACAATGCAGGTTGATGTTGCAGAATGCTGAGAATAGTGCAAATACCACGCAAACTCCGCTGTTTGTTCTCTGTTTTTTGGCCTTGATGGTTTCGCCAGTTTGCTTTCAGCTTTATGGGCTTCTTGACTTCATGGCTTCGATTGTGTTCACCTGTTCACCGCAACCAAAGCCACAAGCGTAAGGAAATCACAACCACGGCCTACATCCAAACAAAGAGCACAATATCAGTTGTTGGTGTGTTCTTCTAGCTACACCACTAACAACAACCACAACAGCAACAGCAACAGCAACAACAAAAGCAACAACAACAAGAACCTACTATTACAACTGCAACTGTAGCAAAACAAACAAGAACCCACAACTAACAGACAACAACCACAACAAAACAACTAACAACAACTTGCAAATAGCATGCCAAATGGAAGATTCCAGCTCCAAAATGTTGCACATATATGCAAATATACGTATGCAAATATCATGCAACAAATCGAAGGTCCCAAATGTTGCAACTGGCAAGCAAAATGGAAGGTTCCAGCTTCCAAATGTTGCAACTGGCAAGCAAAATGGCGGTTCCAGCTGCAAAAAGCTGCAAATAGCATGCGAAAGGAGAGTTCCAACTGTATATAAAATGCTGCAAATGGTATGTAAAATGGAAGGTTCTAGCTTTAAAAAGCTGTGCGTAGCATGGAACATGAAAGGTTTCCAGCTCCAAAATGTTGCAAATGGCATGCAAAGTGGAAGGTTCCAGCTCCCAAATGCTGCAAATAGCTTGGAAAACAGGAAATTAATATGCCGCCGAGAGATTTCAATGGAAAGCACAATTCAGTGCCTAAACCTTCTGGTATTTTTAAAATGATAGACGCGTGACCATGTTTTTGCCCCACTGAACAATATATGTATATGTATATGTACATGTATATGTATATGTATATGTATATGTATATGTATATGTATATGTATATGTTTATGTATATGTATATGTATATGTATATGATATGTATATATATATATATATATCCAAATGGATTTTCCATAGAGGTGTTGACGACTTTGCATGTTGCGGACTGTTGCAGGCAAGATGGCAGTAGCAGCCATTGACATGTCCTTCCTGGAGGACCTCTCAGATAGGTATTGCAGAGTGCATGTCTTTCCTTCAGCAGGATTGGTGTTTCCCCAAAATGTCGTTAATTCCTTCATCCAACCAGCAGCAGCGCATTTGCCATATTAAATATGCACACACAAAGGTTAGAAGTTCAAGGTATCAAGATAGAACCCCTTTTCAGACAGATATTATACTTATATATACTGTATACTTATACTGTATACTGTATACTTATACTGTATACTGTATACTTATACTGATATTTGAATAGCTTATAATATTTTTCGAATATATCCAATATATTATATATATATCGAATATATCATAATATATCCATATATCTGATATCCATGGTCCCAACAAGTCGGAGCCCCGCGGCGCGGCCAGGATCCTGCCCTGTTCAGTAAGGGCCAACACCACCAAGATGATGAAGGCAGCAGTTGGATGCACTTGGCATGGTATGGCATGGTTATTTAATTTATGTTATCTGAAGTTCATGGTCTGGTGGAACATATCAATTTTTAGCTGGTCTTATGAAATTCTATACATATCCATGCATCCATATTTCGATCTCATGAGCATCGCCAGAATTATCAGCTGTGCCAAACTTTCCCGCGCCGCGCGGTGCTCAGATCTCTTCAACTGCAGCGATTTGCGAAAGTGCGAGCCACATGCGCCGGGGGCTCAGTGATACCCCTCGACTGGATGAGAAAACGGATGGTAAATGATGATGGTGTTAGGGAACATCTACAGGAAACCATAGATTTTCCCATGAAATATGGGACTTTCCGGTTAAACAAATCCCGTAAACCAATCCATTGAGGATGGTACATGATGATGGTAAGTCCCATGTGATCAGGCCGCTATTGTCCTAGTAATTGTGGCAAAACTTGGTGGAACAGCTTCAAAGTTGGATTGAGATGGATTTCGCAGAAGCGAACAGAACATGCTTGGCTATTGTCCCAATCGAGGCCCAAAATTCCTAAAGATAATAGCAAGGACCAACTCATCTGTAACTTCCATCGCATTTGGGTTTTGGATTCCGTGGGACCGAAAGAAGGATAAGAATCGGTCATCGACCAAGAAATCAACATCTTTTTGCCAGAAACATCAGAAACTCAGTTTAAATTTTCTTTGTTACTGGATGATCTGGATGCTGTTCCGTTCTCTTTTGGATCGTGCTGGTATTTTAATTTGAACATATTTGAACAGCAGGTCTTGTGGAAAGTTCGGACCGATGTTGAAAGGTGAACGATCCAAGCATTTTTTCCCATGTTTTTCACTTCACCATTCGCTGCGTTTTGAATCAGCTGTACAAAAACAGAACGAAATCATCCAGATCCTGGGATGCAATGGTGAAAAGCGGCGCTGACACCTCCAACTATCCGCTGTTCAGCCAGCTGTTTCTGTCTCCATGGATTTCGAGGGTATCTTGGATCACTACGCGGTACTTGGCCTGGAACAGGGCTGCAGTGCAGCGGAGGTGCGCAAGGCCTTCAGGGCCAAAGCGCTGAAGTGGCACCCAGACAAGGCAGGCAGCTCGGCGGAGGCGCGCAGGCGCTTTCAGGAAGCTACAGATGCATATGAAGCTGGGATTTTGGTGGGTTAACACAGATTTCTGATGTGTTTTTTCCCTGTCTAAACTAGCATTTTTTGGGTAAATGTCGGATGATTCTGAATACCATGGTTGATTTCAAAGATAATCAAAGATAATATATCATATATGTTTTGCTCTGAAAAAGGGCGTATGATACACTTTTGGTTGTTTAATATATTTTTGGGATAGGTTGAAGACCAGCTAGGAAGTGCTAGGGGATGAGGAGAAGAGAAAAGCCTATGATGGCCATTTGCAACAAGAAAAACTGGAAAGAGCTGCTGCAGAAAAGGCCGCGGCTGAAAGAGCCCGAGCCACGCAACAAGCACAACAGGGATATGCCGGCGCGAATGTCAATGCGCCTGCGGGAAATTTTCCCTTTCCTCATGCAAGTCATGGGCATCCTGGGGCCCAATCGCACCATGGGCAGCATGGGAATCGTGGGACCTATGGGACGCCAGGTAGACCAAGCCGCCAACATTCCAGACCGTTTGAGGATCCGCGAAGTCGTATGCCTCAGCCAGATTTGAGACCGACCGCTGCGGAAGTGCATGGCTATGGACGTCAGAAGATGCCAGACGATGGGCACCGGAGACGGACAGCTGGATACAACCCACATGACATGCCCAATGTACCAGACACCAGACCAACTGCAGCTGAATTGAACCCCCATGGCTTTGGACAACCCTTCCGTGCCACCATCTCTGACCTGCAAACATTGGCCAGCTTCAGACATGATGGTGCAATATGGATCCCTAAGGTGAAGGACGTGAAGTGGTGCAGACCCGGTGATGCTGGGAGGGTACAACTCAGTTTCGTTGCTGACTATACCTCCTCCCGCAGCCGTGGAGGGGGGTCACGGCTCCTGCAGCTCTTACAGACCTCCAACTGCGATGCCCTTCAGACGTCCTTTCAAGAACACCTGGACAGAGTGGCTGGTCGCTGCAGCTACCGACATTTTCGGATGCAACTGCTGGACCATCCGGGACGAGGGGAACTGCAGTTTCGCGTGAAACTCTGCTTGGAGGGGGAGACGAGTGACCTTTTGCGCAGCTTTGATGCTGCCTGGGAAGTGGCACCTTCACAGAAGATGAAAGACTGCCCCTTAATGTGAGCTTTGTGAGTTCAACCATCGGATCCTCAAGCTCTGAATAATTACATCTGAATACCAGAAAACTGCCAGAAATATAGGAAATAATAATGGTTTCCAGCAAACAAGAGGCAGATCCTACTTGTTGGATTTGTTTATGTAGATCGTTTGCCAAAGGTAACGACATGACACTTTGTTGTTTCTTCTCATCCTCCAGTTGGAGCGTGGGTTGAAGCATAGCCCTCTCTTGCCCGTCGGATGTCACACCTGGGCCTGGAGTCAGCTCCTACCCATGCTATCATCAAAGCTTGCAGAGGAAGAAATTTGATGCCTCCCTGGCTGAACAGGTGAACACATGTTGAAGACTAGCTGGTGGTTTCAATACTTTTCAATCACCTCTTGTTTTTCCATCTACTTGGGATGATTATGATTAGTCAAATCTTTACCCAGTCTTCCTGGGAATCTACTCATCCAACAGACTGCAGACCTGGAAGCTTTTCATCTCGGGCGAAGGGCTGATAGGAAGCTCGTTGAGAGCCAGCAGCCAAAAAGGGGACTCTTTGGATCCCGCCAGTTTGTTAGTACTGGGCTATCCACTTCAATGGTAATTGATCACTATTTTGGGGGTATCCCCCCAATAAAAAGGCAGGATTTGTTAGTCCGGAAGTTGCATTACGGCTCAAGATTGGGGAGCGAATCTGGTCTTAGTTTACTCTCTTGGGATCCAATTTTGGGGCTTGCGCGTTCTGTTCTCCTGGTGACAACTGATTTATCGTCCAATGATGTCCAATGTATACATCGGGAAACTTGCAAATTTCAGCCAAATGGGGTGGAGATTGTCACGATGCAACGACATTTCCATGAAAGATGTTGAAGGTATTCTGCCCAAGGGGCGGCATGACCGGTAGGCCACCAGGTGAAAGCAAAAGTTTTCAGCAAACCTGGCAATGCAAATCCAATGTTTTTTCAGATCTCAAAGATGGGCATCTTCCATTGGCAGGTTCACGATGGCTCCAGTGGCCAACCCCAAGACCTTCTGCCTAGACATCAAGAAGACCAACGAGGTCCTGGCTGCGCTCGCATGCGTCATGGGAATTGCTGGGGATGGGATGGGATGGGACGAGGGGATGGTGCCAGGCACCAAAGCTGATGGACTTCAGGAAAGGTACCACCACCCTTGGCTTTGTGTCACCTGTCTGCGTTTCAAGGTGACCAGCACCGATGATTTGAAAGCGTGACAACTACAACTGAAATGAAGAAACTTGACAAACGATAGCTAGTAAGGCGTCCATTCATCGTATGTTTTGGGGTATTTGTTGAGTTTTCGTATTGCAAGATGTCCCTGGAATGTTTTGAACACGTTTCTGCAGACAGCAACGGTCTCTACTCAGGTTCCAGGGCGGTATCATCATCGCAGTGGATTCCCGTGCCTCCATGGGTAGCTACATTGGTTCAGCAACTGTGAAGAAGGCGAGTTCCCAGTGGGAATCTACAGACGTGTACTGATGGGATGGAAACTGAAAAATGTTTGGAGGTTAGGAGAGAGGGGTTAATGATGGTTAATGATAAATACTGAGAAATGGTTATTGAGTGGGAGTTCAGCAAACTAGATTAACTAGATAAGAAGCTGAAATCCGCCCTGATTTTATCGGTTTGTTTTCATTGCGGCAGGTCATCGAGATCAACGATTTTCTGCTTGGAACCATGGCGGGTGGCGCTGCCGACTGCTCGTGGGGCTCCTGGAACGGGCACTTTGCGATGTTGGGAGGAAACATCTGGGGATACCTGAAGGTATATATATATTATATTGGATTACCCTCTGGTAAGCAAACATGGCAATGGAAAATCCATGAACATCGTACAGGCATAGATGATCATAGATGATGTTTGAAAATAAAGCTTCCATTTATAGGGGTTCCATTGCCGCGGTTGATTACCGGAGGGTATATCAGTATATGGATGTGTCTGAAAACGGGATGTACCCCGAAATGGTCAAATTTTTGATGGGGATAACATGATTGATCAATGGGTTTTGGGGATCCAATTTTCAGACAAACCTATATCCCCAGTATGCCCGGTTTACGGATAATTCCAGGCTGGCCAGTGCATTTACATCCTCAAGTCGTCCGCGGCAATATGTTCTAGTTGCGGACACGCAAAACCCCGGCGAGCCATTCAAGCACATTCAAATCAATTTAATCCGACAGTTAAAGAACAGTTGGATCATGATCTTCCCAGCTAATCTAGTGTACATGTGTATATATATATATATTCCATTCAAAAACACCAGTTGGGGCTTATTTGCCCACATTAATATGTGGTTATATTCCATATAGGAATGATTTTTCACCCACATCTACGAAGCATGTCCCACTGTCCCCCGTTGCTCAGCCGCGACCTCCCGGAGCAGGTTCTGGGAGCGCCACTTGAACCGACTCTGCCGCATGCACGAACTCAGGGAGAAGGCGATATGCTTCGAATCCCCCAATTTTGCCCACCCAAATAGTAACCCAACAATGGTAACCATGGTAACCCCAACAATAACCTTACCATTTGGGGCATTATGGTATATAGATGTATATAGTATTATATAGTATTGGGGATGGTTTATTATTGGGTTTACTAGATTATATTATATATATGATTATACGATGTACTGCGGTGTTTACACATCATCAGTGGATGTCCATGGATGTCCATGGCACAATGACGACCAGGAGCGCATCTCGGTTGCCGCGGCTTCAAAGCTGTTAGCGAATATCTTCTGGCAGTTCGGGGACCTAATTGTTGTTTACCATCCACCAAATTGAGACCCGGAAAATGGATGAAAATGGAAGAATGTTTTGGTGGAAGCTAATCTTCCAACCCCGAACTATTTGGCAAGGTGTATGTTAGTTGGGGGAATGGTAATGACCTGTTGGAATGGGAGGCAAAGTAGGAAAGTCTTGCAGAAAAACGTGATGATGGTATATGATGGTAGCGTTGGTGATGGTAAGGAGCAGAGGTATGGGATTGGTTCAGACCTTCAGAGGTAATCTATCACTGGAAAATACAACAGCAATTCTTTTGCTGCCGTGGGTATGTGTTACAAAGCATATTAACAACTTAGCAAGTACACACTTGTAATGTGGTGTGCAGGTCACCCAAACCGTTACTTTCAGTTGTCCATCTCGATATCCATCTAAATCTGCCATATCCAACATTATCCATTATCCAACAGTATTCCCGAATGGGTTGTTAGCCCGATATCAAGATCTCGTTTCCAGCCCTCCCAACATCCCAACCATCCGGTAACGGGCCATGCCACACCCAGGTACAGGGGCCAGGGTCTGTCCTGCGGCACCATGGTGGCGGGCTGGGACAAGAAGGTGGACGTGGTTCGGAAAGACATGTTGGGTTGGTGGATCTATTCGATGATTTTCTCTCCGGTTTTATACAATTTTATGGGGATATAACTGGGATAGAATGGGATATGTAACAGCTGCAAAGCTCCTATTTGGTGCCACAACCAGCTAGATGCAAACTCACTGAATATTCACATTTCCAAGCCCAGCCATTTTCTAGGCATCTTTCCTTTCAGAGTTGAAGTATCACACGGGTCGAGAGCGTTCATGGCGACCAGGGCCCCTCGCTGTACATGGTAGATGACAACGGCGATCGCCACAAGGGCAACGTTTTCTCAGTGCGACTGCCCAGTAGCCAGGAAAACATCTTTTTGCCACTAGGATCCTCAAGGCATTTCCAGATTTGCCATATGAAAGTATGATGAATTGAATACTTGTGGCAATTCTCTTTGGGGAACCTTGTAACAATACATGACTACTATATGACCTGATCGTTTTTCAATGGGAGTTTCTACCTTCGTGTAATACATGTGCTTCAACAAGAGGTATCCACCGCGGCGCGTGCCTTGCTTTGTTCACAAGGTGGGTTCGGGATCAACCTTCGCTTACGGCGTGCTGGACACCGGTTACAGCTATGACCTGACTGTGGAAGAGGCGCACGCACGGGCTTTAAAATATGCCACAGTCACTGTGGGATGACGTGGCTGTTCCCACCTTTTGGGCACACCCTTTTTGATTTATGGTGGTTTACTGAAGTTTACTTGTTTGTTTAAATTAGATTAACTTCCCAAATTCTTCCCACTTTATTGGTTCAAAGCCTAAGTATTCATCACCATGATTTACCAGGTGAATTCCATATACTAAAAAACACCTAGTTACATTGAACTACATCTGATAAGTATCTTATTGCTTTGGGAGGAACTCCTGTAAATTCTCCCTCAGGTACCAAGATTGGAGCTAATTACCACCATCAGGTCAAAGCTATGCCTATTCTGGTTGGTATAATTGTCCATCATTTTTCGGATCACAAACCCCAATGGCCCCAATGGCCCTGCCCCACTCCATCGTCCAAGATCGAGGCAGTCGAACTGGGCCGGCGCTCCATCTACCACGCCACGCATCGAGACGGCGCCTCTGGTGGCGTTGTGCGCGTCTACCACGCCGGGGAGCCCAGTGTTGGACGGAGCCCGGTTGGGACATGGGACTGGAAGCCCTGAAACATGGCACCCCGAAAAAGTGAGTAATGTCATTTATAGATGATTTTTCATGATAACCATAGACTATAAACTATATATAGACTATAGATAATATTTTTCAGTTATTGTGGAAATGGATTTGGCTTTTTCTCGATCTTTTTGGGGGATTGCTATAGCTGGGCCCACTGAAGGATCAACATATCCACTGAGATGGGATGGTTGAGAGCGAGCTTGGCCCTTCGCGGGCAGATATGGTGAAGGAGAATGGGGGCCACCCTGCATGCAAAAATATATTTTGTTTGGAGGATGAGAAATTGTAGAGGTCGAGCTGCGTAGGAGATCAGACAAGCACGGATTAATGATTAATGATGTTTTTCAGGTCTCTTTTGAGTAGATGTCGCGTTACACAGCGATCGTTCACAGGGTGAATTCCGATCAGTGGACACGGACCAGAAGGGATGGAGCTCCCTTGGTTCCTCGGGATTCCCATCGATCCACCCATGACAGGTCCACGAGAAGGGCTGGACGAAGGTGGGCTCCGTTCGAATTCTTTGCCCTGGACTCTGGACGAGTGGTTGATCTGGGATTGCGTGGAGGTATCTATCTGTCTGGTAATTAATATCAGCAACCAAAAATATGGTAAACAAGAACATCCAACAATCACTTGATGTAGCAAGCAAGCTAACTTCATAATTGTTAAGAATTCATATATATATACACATATATATACACATATGTTTGCTTCTGCAATGACCGGATAGGATCATGTTCTCCAGCAGCCTCATGCCAGATGATTGCCGGTGAAGATGTGAACAAGTTGCACTACATGTGCTCCTGGATGATTACCGAGCGGCGGACTTGATAAGGATTCTGCATGATAAAGAGGTTCCCCCCAAAGGATTAAGGTTACAATAATCCCGCATTTCATTTGATGGTGTTCAACATTTTTTTCAAGATGCTTCGGGATTTTGTGTGCACATAATATAGACTGGACCAACAACTCGCCAAGTTCCAAGTAGCAGACGAAATCGTTCAGGTCCCAAAGTTCCATCAACTTTATTCACCAACATGCCACGATTTTGAAATATTTTGAAGGCATATCCATGTGACAAGGTTGGCAGAACGGATAGCAGCCTCTGCTGGTGGTGCCAGGTACGCGGCAGAGAAAAACCTCCGAGGAGATGAGTGAACCAAGTGGGCCAGTGAACGCAATGAGCCAAGTGGGCCATGTGCGGCTCGCGTTTCTTAGCCTGTATGATTCATGTCGCGTGTCATATTATGACAATTAATATGCTAAGCTGCTACATATGATAATACAGAAATATACAGAATACATATATGACATATTATGACGTTGATCTTCATCAGAATGAGTATATAACTATCATCGACCAATGTTGACTTGAATGTGTTGAAGAAATGGGTGCAGTGGTTGATTTCATGGTATTTCATTGTATCAGCTACCTGGATATCTCCAGTCTGAAAGCTATTGCGGAGCCACACGCAAAGCCAAGAAGAGAATAGGACTGAACAGAAAGGGCCTGCGTGGAAAAGATCCGTGCGCGATTGCATATTTGTTCAGTTTCAGTGGTCAGAAGTTCAACCAACCTCCGGCACGAGACGGATTTTGACCGGCTGAAAAGAAAGTATCCTGTTCGTTCCCAGAAGAGCTTGTTTCTTTGGGTATATAATGGTATATAGTCTCCCTCTCGTTCAGAAGTCGTACGTCCACTGCGAAAAAACAGGGAGAAAACTCACTCCCACAGTCCCCGCAGACCATAGAAGACGCGGCGAAAGGTGATCTCTGGAATATTTGCCCCCTCTGCACCTGAAGGGAATACGATGCCCTGCAAGGACTACGTAATGCTACGCAAGGGTATTGAATCATGCGAGCTGAGAAAGATGCGAAGACCGGCCCTGTTCCCTGAACTGAAACGGGAACAATTCTTTACGACTTCACTGCAAATGCAAGAGTTGACCTGCCGAGTCGGTCCCATGCAATCCATCATTACTTGCTTGAGACGTAGCCAATACAAGTAGCAAGAAATATGTGGGCGTTCCACCAGGTATCCACCTGACGTAGAACTCAGGAATTGGCGTTCCACCAGACAAACCTTTGCGTTGCAAACCTGTACTAACTAATACTGACTGGCAGCGAATGAAGTCGTTACCTATAGAAAGATATTTACATGATTTTACATGCATAAACTGTTTTGATCGTGAAACCACACACTGCAGATACCTTGTCGATGGCTTGTTAGCATGTCGTCGGTATGGTGGGTAGGGACAGGCTCAGGACATCTCAGGACTATCAAGGTCATATTCATCAACAGGAACGAAAAGGAAGGAAAGGGAAGGAAAGGGAAGGAAAAGCAAGGAAAAGGAAGAAAGGGAAGGAAAAGCAAGGAAAAGGAAAGAAAGGAAAGCAAGGAAAAGCAACGAAAGACAAGGAAAGGCAAGGAAAAGCGAGGAAGGGAAGGAAAGGAAAAGGAAGGAAACGGAAGGAAAGGAAAAAGAAGGAACAGAAAGGAAGAGGTAAGTTATCATGATGTCAGCCGGACCTCGCATGGACCTCACCTGGACCTCGCCCAATTCCAGTGATGCTAAGGCAATGTGTTGATTGCTTGCGCGCTTGCCTTCTTGCTTGCCTTTTCTTTCTTTCTGACTTGCTTTGCTTGTGCTGCCAGTGCTGCTTCTGGCTTGCGGTAGTTTTTGGGCCACCTATATACATTGTGAAATGACTTATTGTGAGCACCTTGCTGTGACGGGGTCTTGGCGTCTGCTCCGCACGCCAAATAGGATTCCAACATCATGTTGTGACCAAGTTTTCATCCAGTCCCGGGTTTTGCGGAGTCCGCATTGTATGCGCTTCAAAGTTCCTGTGTGAATATGCCAATGTAGGCACTCTGGAATAAATCAATGGAAACATAAATCACACACATGTGCATGCTACACAATTACTAAGCAAGGTGCTGGCTGGTTTTCTCTCACAAAAGAGCTGTTGGTGGTTGCGTTTTTTTTTTCAAATTATGTTCTTTTTTTTTGGGAACAGGCATAGTGTAACAGATGATCCCTGGAGTGCCAGTATAGATCGGTAAGTGAAGAAAAATATCAAAGAGAGCATCGAATACAAGAGTAACTCCGTGTAAGGGAGCGTGAACCGCATCATCAGCCCTCATCATCAGGACTGCCTGTCCATATCCACTTCACATCACCACTTTGTACAATTCAATGGATTGGTTTAAGGGAAAATTTACAGGAAACCATCGATTTTCCCATTAAATGTGGGGCTTTCCTGTAAATTTTCCCTGAATCCAATCCATTGAACAATCAACCCCCCACGTCGTCACCAATTGCCGACTGACAGTTACAATGCGAGCGAAACTCTTCATTTTTTTGAGTAATCGTGCGAACTGTGCGTCCGTGGGGATTAAGATTTAACAAACCTATATACTGTGCGGAGGGTGCCGGTACATGCAGGAAGTGCGCGCAGTGAAATTGAGGTGACACAGTGATTGTTCTGTCTGTTTGTTACGCGTGCTTTTGTTGAAACCTGCGCAAGGACAAGGAGGAACTGCTGCATCAATGGTGCCGCTTAAACGCTTTGGACACCTATTTTGCATACATTGTTTTGGGTTGGCCCTCATTACGTGTAAGGAAGATTGCCTTATCATGCGTTGCATTTCGAGCCACAAAGTTTACCAGACTCGATTCGCACACCAAAGATATCCAAAAATTGCATAACATCCTTCGAACGGAATAGAGGCATACCACACCAAACACATAATCTTCACAATGAAACGCAAAAAACCCAAACAAATATAACCCGTGGATACCCTTGGAATTTCGTTTAGAGAATCGGACAACCCGAGTTGTAAACACACTATCATTCTTTAGAAACTGATGGATTTGGCTCTCAAAAAAGACATGGTTTAGATTCTTTAGATAATCTTGCTTTGGAAGAGTATTCAGCCACGTGCAACCACCAAAAACATATTAGAATCCTGAAGAACCTCCAAAATCATCAAACCTTGTCAGGTGCTTTATAGGTGTGTGCGTGTGTATGCATCACTGCACACCGGAGTGTTTTGTTCTTACGCTAAGGAAGGCTTTACAACTTGTGCCCCCTGGGTTTCCTTCAGGCTTCATAGATATTGGGTGCACAAGGTGTTTGATTCTTTTAGCACTTTTCCGTATATCCTCCACACTGGTGTTTTGATTTTCCCAGGATTCTTTTGTACCCCCGAACGTCCTGAAAAGAATCCATGAGTCCAAGTTTGAGTCTGACTGGTATTTTTGCAACAGTGACAGTGACCGATGATGTATTTTCAGACATTTTCAGACAATGGTGTTTTTACAGCTTGTACCGGTGTTTTTTCTAACGGTTCACTGCTGTTCTTTGCAACAATGATGTTCTTTGCAACAGTTGTCCGATGTTGTCTGGTGCGTTGTGCAACGGTTCCCGACCGTTCCCCGGTGTTTTTTGTTTGGCTAGTGTTTTTTTTGCAACGGAGGCCTCGTAGCAGTGGTGGTAGTAGATAGCAACGCGTAGTTTGTAGGTAGTATAGCCAGGTATTGGGTAGTAAGTGAGTAGTAGGTGGGTAGTAGGTGGGTAGTAGGTGGGTGGTAGGTGGGTGGTAGGTGGGTGGTAGGTGGGTGGTAGGAGGTAGCAGGTAGCAAGCGTATAGTGCTGCTGTTGCCTGTTGCGGTGTCCGTTTCGGTGGTGGGTTTGTTGTTCTGATGGTGCTGCACCCTCTTCCACAAGCGCCATGTACGAAAACTGATGCAAACTAGCAGTGGTGGTGGTGGTGGTGGAGGTGGTTGACTATAGTCCAAAATCCAGCGCGCAAGTTGTAGTCACTAGGAAGTATGTCGTGGGTAATTCGGTCTTGTATTATGCAACTGTATAATCACTACGAACCGCAACATATGTTTATTTTACACTACTGGTAACTTTATTACACCTACGACCGGTACTATATAGCTCTACTGCTTCTAGTGCTTGAACAACCTGCACGGACACCGGGTTTACGCGCTGACACCATTGTGTGCCCATGAACTAATGACATTAATTTTTGTACATCCAGATGCAAACCCACACACACAGACACACACACACACACCAACTGCCTGGTCTACAGCATGTGACAAGATCCTGATGATTGTACAGGTTTTTCAACACAATGAATGAATCCAGTATGCCCCCGGGGGCGGCCCATTAAAGGCACAGCAACTGCCAGACAAATAAAAGCATATTATATTATATAATATTATGTTATCACCACCCCTTTAATGCTATTTTTCAGGGGCACCGTACCAAAATGTAAGGTACATTTTTGGCGACCCCCCTTTAAATGTAAAATTGGTCGCTGAACGTCCCCCAGGTGCCGTTTTTGTGGGGAGAGTTGTCAAAATACCTTCGACATGTATACATTTTCAAGGCCCCCCTCAAAAACACCTTGAAAAATGGAGCTTACATTTTGGGTACGTCCACCCCTCAAAAGGGTAGTGATATTATATACATACACAAAAATCAGCACTCACTGTCATCTAAAGATAGAATGTAATGAAGCCGTCCATGATTTTTCCAAACATGTGGGTTTCACGCAATCATCATCCACTTCCCAGCCGCAATTTTTTTCCAGTTTACCGTGCCGAACATTCAGCGGTCGACCAATCCTCCCATTGCGCTGGATTTCAGTTGAGCACACGCCCTGGTTGTTCAACACACACGGAAATTCAAACAATGTTTTGATGATTACTAAACATATGCTCTGTTCAGAACGGCACGGATATCGTAATTGCGAACATGCACAGCAATCTTCCGTTGTTCAGGCTGGTTGCCTGGACTCATGCGATGTGAGAGAACCATGATCTTGATCAACTCTTAAAACATCTATCGCCACCATTTCAGTTGGCGGGGTTCGGGTTTCAAGGAGGCACCTAATTTCCCGAAGGGTGCTACATGACAAAGTGAGGTACAAAAATCACACGGTACCACGGAGCAAATGATGATGATGATGATGATGATGACGATGATGATGATGCTGGTGGTGGTGGTGGTGGTGATGGTGATGGTGATGGTGATGGTGATATGATGATGGTGATGATGATGGTGATGATGGTGATGATGGTGATGATGGTGATGATGGTGATGATGGTGATGGTGATGGTGATGCTGCTGCTGAT